AGCACAGAGGGCGATTTGGTTTGGGTTTGGTCTCTATCCCAGACACCTCTTAGGGACACCTTCTTCCAACCCTTGTCCACAGACTTCCTGCTCAAGTCTCTGTACCAGTTAGGCCTTCCTGCTTCCCCCAAACAATCTTCTCCCCACCCTCCACCCCCCACCCCAAACAACCCAATCACATTGTCTAGGAAGCCTGGCTACAAAGACAGGGCTAGAAGGGCTTAAATTTTAATAATTAAATGTATTAACTATAATTTAATATAAATATATTAGCATCTACTAACTTCAATTTTATTCATCTCTGAATGGTCCTTTAGCATCCTGTGTCTAACTTAAAAAGAACATTCGTGGCGTGCTAGATCTGCATCACAGGATTAAGGCGAGGGTTACTGAAAAGTTAACCAAATGCTTCCAACTCGCTGCCATCAAGGAGAGTCCAGCTCAACAGGCAAGCCCTGGGCCACCCTTGGTGGACAAAGCTGGCTCTCATTTCCCCCCACCTGCATGCATTTCCATTTTGCTATTTCTTCTATAGGACCAAAGAAAAAGAGCCAAACTTGCTGCCCTTGAATTGATTCTGACTCCTGGGGGTCCTATAGGACAGAGCAGAACTGCCCCTGTGGGTTTCCCAGACTGAAACTAGACTGTGATTCTTTACAGGAGAATTGTTGGTGGTTTTGAACTGCTGATCTTGCAGTTAGCAGCCCAATGCATAACCCGGCTGCCCGCCACCAGATCTTCTATAATAATTTGTATTAATTTACCTTAAAGTTTTCTGTGTTCTAGGTCAAACAATGCTAAGTCTTCTAAGCTTTCATTAAGCCATTTGATTAAACATGTTCAACAGCTTCACTGAGATGCAACTCACAGACCAGCCATGACTTAGGGCGTGTGTGAATTTCGAATGATCGCAAATTCATGTCTTTGAGGCTGTTCACAGAGTTCTGCATCTACCACAACAATCAACTTTAGAACCTTTTCATTATCTCCCCCCTCCCCCCACCCTCCAAATCCCACACTCCTTGGAATTGTACCCTCGAGTCAGTGGGTGCACATTGGGTTGTTCCCATCTGTTCACTAGGAGGAAGAATGCTCCCATGACACTCTGGTGTGGGCAGAAGTTTTATGTCTCTTGGGCATGCACTGAAAAGAGTGGAATTGCTGGATCTGAGGGTCACGGATTGCACCGTTCAATCAGTTCTAAATAAATGACTGGTTTGAAAGATGCCCTCCGATTTAGCAGTAAGTGAGCTTTCTTGTGTCAGACCTAACTGACTGATCCCGCTCCCTTTGGCCCCACCATGGTGGCAGCCTTCTTTACACCACCATTTGCTAAACTCACCTCCTAGCCTCCCATTCTGTTGGAGAAGAAAAGAAACAGAGTTAAGTGATGCATCCACTCTCCTGTCTGGGAGCCTTTGCCTCCTACAGAGATGGCGAGGTTACGGAGAAGGCTGCAGGGATTCCCTGGACTAGCTGGAGTGTCTGGAATCGGCTGAGGCTGCAGAATAGCTTTAAAGAGACTCGGCATCCTAAACAGCAAGATCGGCTTTTTGTTTTGCTCGGTTTTGTTTTTTAAGGAGGATTTCCTTAGCGAAGTGGGGGTGCTGGGGGGACAGGGGCGGTCAGAGAGAACGCAGGATTCTGAGCAGGAAGCCTGCTCCTAGGGTGATCTGTTTAAAACTGAGTTGGTGGGCAGGCAAGAGTATCTTCAGAGAAAACTAGCAGATTCTGGGTTAGTTGGCTGCTGTCCTAAGAGGGGCCTCGCCTCTTCTTCCAACCAGAGTGCTCTATTCCATTACTATCATGAGGGTCTGGGTCACTCCCTCTGAACAGAGGGCAGAAACTTCTCTGTGGTGGGGTGTATACAATCAAAGCATAGAGATGCACACACACACAAACAGGTGACGTATCATGTCTAATCACAGGTTTTTAACTGCCAATAAGAGCTGCTGCAGGCTTGAGGTCTTGGAATGATTGGTACATGCCAGGTATCAGAATAGGGATTTGGCTCTTGGCCCTGTTGCAGAAATTAGGGAAAGAACACACAGACTACAAGTTTTACATGGAAATAAAAATTTTTAAAAAACCAAAAAACTTTACATGGAAATCTCATCAAGATTCCTTCTTTCCTTCCTTAAGTAGGCCAACTGCCTACTCTCCTTTAGTCTACATGCAATGCCAACTCTTTCATTGTTGGCCCAGCCTCGTCGAGAAGGGTAAAAGAAAAAGAACCAACTCATTGTCATCGTGTCAATGCTGACTCACAGCAACCCCACCGTGGGTTGCTGAGACTGTTTACGGGAGTAGAAAGCACAATATTCCCCCTCGGGGCTGCTGATGGTTTCAAACTGCCGATCACGTGAATGGCAGCCCAATGCATAACCACTACACCACTGGGATTCCTTATAGAGGAGTAAAGCAGAGTGAAAATGCAGAGAGGCGTCCAAGTACCAGATAACCAATTGCCGACAGTGAGGAAAGGTAGAGAGGGTCGCTGCAGACGCGGAGGGATACCTGGTACAGGCAGTGAGGGGAGAGCCGGCCCCTGACGGCTCTTCACGGTGAGTCACTGATGCCCGAGTAAGTGACCGAAGTCCTTACAAGAGTTCATTTAGTCCCTTACATGGGAAGATAGTCAGCATGCAGGGCATTTGGGAATACATGCGGACCCCACGATCACAGACTTAAAAATAAAGTGGGGACCCTGAAGGATACTGATTATTTCCAAAAACTTCGGATCAAGCTAAGTAATGAGCCATCCTGGTTTTCATCTTCTTCCCTCTTACCTTGTCCCCATTCCATGACTAAGTCTGACCTGGAACATGAAAATTGCTGTGGAATCCGAAGCCTGAACGCACATCAGGAATTGTTTAAGGTTTAAAGAAATGGCACAAAACTCAAGTGCGGCTACACTTTAAAGACTCAAACAAACTAGTGAAATTTATGCGCCATGTCTATCGCTATCGTACCCCTCCCTACCCTCATTTCATCTACCAGCATTCTGATTGGTTTGAACTGGTTCAGTTATGACTGACGCGGTGGAAATCGGAATGGACTTGAATGTGTAAAACATGGGGGGCAGGGGGAAACTGCGTTAATAACCTAAATGGCGTTGGGGGAGGGATCACAGGTTAAAGCCCAGTAAATTGGAAACTTGTGAGGTGCAGTCAAGAGTCCCATTGGATGCTGGGTTACTGACAGAACGGCGCAGGGCAAGGAACATTTACAGAGGACTGGTCAGCCGCCTTCTTTGAGCAGGGCATCGTTGTTTTAGAGTCTGTCTGTCAAGAGATTTGATTGCTAAGCAAACAAGAAGGCCCTTGTTTCCTAAAGGGGAGATTAAGTTCTGATGACTGTCCTGATGTCCCGAACAAGTTTCCTCCCAGCCCAGTTTTAGTTGGTCGGCACAACTGAAATGGGAAGAATGAATTCAAAGGCTTACTTCCTACGCAAGACCACGGAATCCTTTAGTTCCGTGGTTCCAAAAGGCAGCAGCAACGTCTGCAGCAGCAGCAGCAGCATTTGGGAACTTGGTAGAAATGCAACTAGGCCACACACCCACTCATCCAGAACCCAGGAGCAGAGGCAGGGGCGGTGGGTGGGGCGGTTACTCTGTGCTTCCACCAGCCCTTGGGAGTGATCCCGGTGGTCACTAACTTTCTTAACTTCTGCTTCTGCAAAAGGCGGGCAGCCAGCGGGTTTCTGTTCTACGGGGGGACCGTGACAGTGGGCGATGCGGAAGGAACGTCTCCCAGGTGGGTGGGGGCACTAGTCGCTTAGCCACGACGCCCCTTCCCGCTGAGGATGCAACTGCAAGGCTCAGCCACCCCCACGGCGCAGCAGCGCGCGAACCGTACCTTCCAGATGCTTCAGGAGCGCTCGGCTGCTGTTTCCGTGCGCAGAGATCAGGATGGTTTTGCCGCTCAGCACCTCCGGGGCGATCCTTTGGTTCCAGTAGGGAAGCAGTCTCTCCAGGACGTCCTTCAAGCTCTCGGATCGGGGCAGCTGGTCCACAGGCACGTCGCACACCTTGTACCTCCGGTCGCTGTAGATCTCCCGGTAGTAAGGGTGGGACTCCTCGATGGGGGGCGGCGTCACGCTGTAGCTCCTCCTCCAGATCCTCACCTGCTCTTCGCCGTGATTCAGGGCCATCTTCTCCCGGTTGAGGCCGATCAGGGCCCCGTAGTGACGCTCGTTGAGGCGCCAGGAGCTTTCCACGGGAACCCACTCCTGCCCCAGCTCCTCCAGGATCAGCCAGGCTGTGTGGATGGACCGATTCAGGATGGACGTGAAGACCAGGTCAAACTCCACGTTCAGCTCCTTCAGCTGCCTGCCACAGTTCCGCGCTTCCTCCAGCCCGTCGCTGTTCAGTTTCTGGTCCACCCAGCTACAAAAGCGGTTCTCCTTATTCCAAGCGCCCTCCCCGTGTCTTAGCATGATCAGTTTATACTTGGACATCCTGGTGGCCAGGCCCTCGGGGTGCCGTTAGAGGTCCCGTGTTCAGCAGAAGCAGGGCATCTAGGGAGAGAAGACACAGATGAGTGGTTACAAGCCATCATTCATCTGGCCAGTACACCTGCAGGACAACGGCCAGCTTCCAAAGGAAACCGGAATGCCTTTGAAGTGGCTTTGACGTCAGCCATCCACGGTGGTGAAGGCAGGCCTAGTCTACAGCTAATTAATTACAGGGACGCAAGTTGACTTACGATTTTCTCATCGCTGTGGATAGTGTGTTAATTGTACCATGTAAAAATAACAGACCTCCACCTACACCCAATAAAAGGGCGGTTTGTGCTCACCACAGAGAGCACTGGGCGGGATGGATTCCTATCTAAAAGGCCAACAGGGGACTGGGACTCCCCACTTCTAATAGCTGCCTCTAGAGTCTAGACTGAGGGCACCCCTCTCGCTTGGTTTTCCCTCTGGTGGGGAAGGCAAGATTTACCAGTCTGGCCTTCTTGTGGCTGACATCATTAAGCACGTTATCTCAATGAGCCACCAACATGCATCTGGTCTGTCACCAATTGGTGTTCTTTGGTACCACTGGCTGGACCACACCCGAGGCCATCTCAGGTCTGCCAGGCCAACCGACCAACAGCATCCCCATGCCTTAAAGGACCACGAACACCACGGTGACACCTCAACAATCTCTTACGTGGCCTCCAGAATGAGCTTGCAGCCGGAATAAATCCAGATGCAAAACACACGCTATCCAACGCACACAGCTGGGCGATGCTACCCAGAGAAGCAGATTAGCAAGGGCAGGCCCACAGGAGGGAGAGGAACCTGTCTGATAAGGAGGCCCCGCCCCTCTGCCTCAGCCACCAGCCACAGGCATCCCCGGCTAGAGAGGAGTCTAGGACAGTAAGCCTTTCTGAACTCCCCAGAGTGGCAGCAGCTGGGCCAAAGAGCCGGAGAGCCCCCACACCAGGCCGTACCAGCCTCCTCTCTCCTGGACAGGCCATCTACATAGACGAAGGTTGCTCTGAGTACTTGCCCAGCACTCTCCACCTCCACCCAGGCCCTTCCCGCTGGGGAGTGATGATCACGTGAGCCTGCTCTGCCCTTTGGGTCACCTCCCATTAACTGGAGATTTCTGTGTCACCTATACAGTGATTCACCAGAGTGACCGGACATTCGGTGACAAAATGAGTGGCGTCTCGAGCTAAGGCCTGCCTCCCTTTCGCCCTGGTGGTGGTGTCGCTAAGTGTCAGGCTGCTGTGAGGCCGGTGGTTCAGAACCCACCCGCCACTCTGCGGAGAAAAACGAGCAAAGATTGACGACCTCGGAGAAGAGGGCTGCTATGAAGCAGGATCCACTTGAGAATGAATCTGGGTAACTTTGAAAGATTCATGGGAGAAAAAAATTTTTTTTTTTTGAAACTCTGAAAGAAGGTTTCCTATCTGGGTGGAAAGCAGACAAGGATGATGGGGGGTGGGGGGGCGCTTGTGATCCTCGTCTCCATTCAAGCTTCAGGTTGAAGCTTTTGCTGATGTGGCGCGGGGAAGCACCGTGTGCTGGGAGGAACTGGGATTCGGCAGAAGGCACTTCTTGGGCTGAGAATTCGGGGCTGGGGAGGGCAGGGGAGTCAAGAGAGACAGAACAGGGCGGGATGACAGGCTGGTGGCAGCCCTTTGCTGATTAAAACCTGTGCTCAATGGCAAAAGGAACTTGAGAGGAGACTTAAGCTCCCATGCCCTTCAACCAACAGACCCTTTTAAGACCGTGGAAGAGGGCAAGCCCTGGATGCCCGTGGTCATGGGTGCTTGGCTTTTGTTTTGATTTCCCAACAGAAGATGATTCTGTATTGCTTTCCCAAAGAGCCTTTAATGCAACCAAACAGTAGACGCTTCAGCCCCTACAAAACTGGACGCATTCGTGCTTGGGTTTTCTTGGAGGAAAGAACAAGACCGTCATTGTTCCTCCATCACCACCCTTAGCTTTCTTTACTCGGCAAGCAAGGAGTAGGAAGCCGTTTTCCTCTCCGGCGGAAGAGGGTCTGGTGAGCAATCGAGGCAGAAGCGTGCCTCCTCCATCTGTTGGCAAGACCCAAGTCAGTGTAGTAATAACAACACACCACTCAGCCACCCCGGCACCTCAGCATCTTGTCATATAGCAACCCCAAGTCCCTGCTCACCGCCATCGGGTCAGTTCTGACTCACCGCAAACGGCCCCTCTAGGTTCCCTGTGTGATTCTGAGGAAGCCCCCTCTTCCCCCCACAGAGCGGCTGCTGGGTTCAAATGGCTGACCTGGCCTTGAGCAGCTTCCTGTGTAACCCCCAGCACCCCCAGGGCTCCTGGGAAGACACACTCTCCTTTGTAACACTTAAATCCATTTCTCTCTTCTTCTTAAAACACCACAGCAGAGGAACAAAAGTGCAGGCGCAAAGACACACCCTCTTCCCTGGGATGAAAAGGGATCAGGAGCCCAACTCGTGTGTGGGCGTCACAAAGTCACCTCCTGCCCGACTCCTGGGATCCAGCAATGGCTGCTCCCCCACTCAACTGTTAAATGAGCACAAACAAATTGAGCTCGGCAGGGATTGAGTCTTCGATCATTGTGTAAGCTCTCTGGTGTGCTACACCAACTGTTCCCCAACTACCAACCTCACCACAAACAACTGAGTAATGAATTAGCATTTGCCCCTTTGGGTCTCCAAGACTTTAAATCTTGACAGAGGTAGACAGCTTCCTTTTTCTCCTGGGAAGTGGCTGGTGGGTTCACTACTCTATGTGTGACAGTGTTTCAATATGAATCGAGCTAGCAAGCTATCTGATGTTCTTGTCAAAGCAGTTCCAACTCCTAGCAAGCCTAACCCCTGCAGAAGGAAACATTGCCGGTTCTGCGCCATCCTCGCAATCACTGTACGCTTGATCGGCCACTGCTGCAGTCACTCTGCCAATCCAACTCATGGGTTGACCCTCTACCAGGTCCCTCTCCTTTCCAGGGACCCCTCTTTCTTGATAACATGCCCAAAGCATACGAGGGGAAAGTCTTGCCAAAGGCTTCGAAGGAGCATTCTGGCTGTACTTCTTCTGAGACAGATCAGCTCCTTCTCCGGGCAGTTCCTGGTATATTCCGTATTCTTCCCCAATACCACACTGCAGATGCCTCAGGTTTTCTCCATGCTCCCTTTTCCATGGGCCAGGTCTCCCACAGATGAGGCCACTGACAGTAACACTGCAGCCAGGGTGATGTACAGTTTAAGGCCGAGCATGCAAACCCAAATGCCTGCCATGGCCAAGCAGACCTGTGCCGAGGAGAGAGTGGCTGGTGAAGAGGCGTGGCCTGGACGAGAGGGAGCGGGGAGACTAGTGAACCGCTTAGAATGGACAGGCAGCTCCTCTGGGGGGGCGACCTTTGCGCACATGGACATAGCTTTCCTCAGCCTGGTCCCACTGAGGGGAGAGCGCCTTTCTCTGAGCTTCCTTGGAGAGGAACGTGATGGGAGGGTCCTGCGCAAGCCTGGGAGAACGCTGGATGTAGCCTGCAGGCTTGTTTTCATGGTGGGGAAATAGCTCCTGATAACACAAACAATCCTTTCCGATCCTAAAACCTCCTGTGAAAAGTACAGGGAGCCACCACCACGACGCAGCTCCATATTGTTGCCCCGGGAGAGGGAAACACAGAGTTGCATGTTTTAGCCCGATTTAGAGAACGGCAACTCACTTGCACTGATGTTTTTAAAGGTGAGTTCAACAGAGGACGTCTGTGGGCTGTGGGCTGTCGATGACTTCTGCTAGGTTCTGACTTGGGATGGGAAGGCCAATCTCCCCCAAACCACAGGGGAATTCTGAGGTCACTTTAGTTCAGGAGACGGATTGAACCCTTAGCCCAGCGTTCCCATTAGAGGCCAGTACAGCTGGTCAAGTTCTGGCTTTCTGCCTGACCCCACTTCACCGTCCTCCTTCCCCAAACCCTCTGTCCACGCCAGCACAGCTCCCAGCTGTCATCAATTCTTGCTCAGCGCCAGCACTTCAAGTGCTTCCGGGCTTCCACTGAGCTGCAGGTGACCCTGCTGATGGTGCTTCTCCCAGGCCAAGGGCGGGCTGGGGCAGACAAGAGCAGGACGTGGACAAGTCGAGTTCTCCTCTCTCTCAGTGAATTTATTGGCCAGAATCCCATAATCCACCCCCCGCCCACCCACCCCAACTACCATCTTGATGGCGCTGCTGTTGTTGGCATCGAGTTGAGTCCAAGCTCGCGTGGCAGAGTGGAACGGGCCCAGAGCGTTTTCTTGGCTGTAATCTTTACCGGAGTCGGTATCAGGCCTTTCTCCCAAGAAGCTGTTCAAACTGCCAGCCTTTCTGGTAGAGACTACAGGCGGAACCCTTGTGTCCTCAGGACCCCTCCTGGACCCATTGCTGTCGATAGCAACCTTACAGGAGAGAGTGGACCTGCCCTGCGGGGGTTCCAAGACTGTCATCCTTACAGAAGCGGCCTACCACAGTTTTCACCCGCAGAAAGATTGGTGGGTAGGCAGCAAACCCCTGGGCTATCAGGGTTCCTTGACGGCTCCTTAAACTGCTGTCAAGTTAACTCTGACCATTAGCAATAGAACAGAATAGAATTGCTCCTTTGAGTTACTGAGCCTATACATTTTTATGAGAATAGTCAGCCTCATCTTTCTCTTGAAGAGCAGCAGGTGGGTTTGAACTGCCAACCTTGTAGTTAGGAGCCTGATGCCTACCCTATTGAGCCACTAAGACTTTAACACACACTGTATCCTACACTCAACTCTCTCCCATCACCTCTTGTCATTTCCTTCCTCCATAGCCCAACCTTACTTTAGGTCATCTGTATTCATCCTTCAGATACATTCTGCCCAACTGAAATATAAGACGAGTCACAAGTGCAAGCCATACATATCATCGTCTAGTAGCCAATTCTAACAAGTGACATTTATCTTAATAGTATTTTAAACCCTCTATGTACAAAATTTTTCAACCTACAATAGAAAAATGACCCTTGCAGTATCTTATTTTTTTCAGATTAAGTCTTTGAAATCTTGCATGTC